TAACCTTTAGAGTTACTGTTTATTTTAAAATAGATTTGATGTAAAGTCCCATGTTCAGTTTGGCTTTCTGGGTTTCTGATGATCCCCCCCCCCCCTGCTCTCGACAGCATATGTATAAAACGTCTGAACACTTCCTTAATTTCCCTTTTGTGTGCTTCCAGGTGGATTTGAAAGGTGAAATCATGAATATGGCTAAAATTTCAGACAGTGGTAAGAAGCAGAGGAAGAACTGGTCTTCAGTGTGGACTGTGCTCACCTCAGACCAGTTAATGTTTTATAAAGACAAACAGGAAACTGGACTGGTATAAAAATCTTTCATCACTACTGTCAGTGTATCTCTACTTATATTTATCATGTCTAACTTGTGTGACCCATCACATTACTGTCTTTGCGCTTAGAAACCAGGAGGTAAGGCAGATGTGCTTCAGCTGTGTGGAGCATTCATTGAGTGGAATACTGAGAAATCAAGCAGGAAAAATGTCTTCCAGGTGAACACTTAATTGCTGCTGATGGCTTATTCTCTCTGGTTATTTAAAATAGATGGTACAGAAATGAACTGGTTTTTTTGGTTGTTTTTACCTGTTCTAGATTAAAACAAGCACAGGAAGTGAGTACCTTGTCCAGACTGACAGTTACTCCACTGCCAGCAAATGGTACGACGCCATCAAAAAGACCGTCGACTCTTCAGTAAGAAGTCACCACCCTTTAAAATCATCATCACTATATTCCTTGTTCATTAATTATAAATTATTTCTGTGCATTTTGTGAATTTCTTTTCAAAAAGACAAATTGATCACTTATCAAACTAATCTTCCTGAGATTGCTTGTACCTCTTTTCTGCTCAGACTAAAGAAGGTTTTCCTCTGCGGAGATCAAACAGTACAGACTACCTGCCCAGACACAGCTCCCTACCTGGATATGGCTCTGCTTCTCCTGGTGTCAAACAACGTAACCCAATACACCGACGATCTATCAGTGAGTCTGAGGAATAATGATTTGTATTTATACAAAGCAGCAGTGAGCAGCTAAAGCCACAGAAACCATTAGTGTGTAAAACATGATTCACATCTAAATTATCATGACTGCTCCATAACTGCTGGAGGTGGAAAGCAGCTGTGCAACTCTTAAAAAAGTTAAGGTAATAATGTCACGCGGGCGGAAACTGACTCAGGCGCAGACCAGCTGAACTAGAATTACAGTCACAAGTGTATTTACAAACACACTATGTGAAATTATAAACAGTGTATGGGGGCAGGGACTTTCATTGGTCCAAGGGAAAAAGCGAAGCACACTCTGCTCGTTCGCTCCTCTCGCATTTGTCTTTAGCACTCTCACCTACTCCACGCCACGCTGCCAGGGAAACAGATCTAGGGATAAGGACAAGTCCAGGAGTCTATGCACAGGAGAACCATGGTTAGAATAAACTGAGAAATCACACAAGAAACAGATTATCAGAGCTGTACTGACGAGAATAACTCAACAATCCAGCAAAGACGCCTTCTTTGCTGGATGACAAATACAGTCCTTGGACCAGTCAATATGGGGTTTATGTGTATTTAGCCATGGATAACCGAGAACAAAGGATACAAGCATCATCAAACAGAAAGGAACTAATCTTTTCAACATGGTTGCAGGAAGAGGAGATCTGAATGGCCTGCAAGTGATGATACCCATCGTCACTTGCAGGCCAATATAAACCTGACACTAACACTGGAGTCTAGGTAGGGAGACGTCCTCAATTGTGCCCACCAGCATTCCTACTGCTACTGACGGACAAAATCTTTCGGCCATGTGGGACAGGTGTCTGCATAGTGTCCTTATCTGCCACAATAAAAACACTGACCAGCCAGATGTCATTTCCTGCAGTCTGAGAGCAAAAGTTGGGCCTGGCCAAGCTGCGTGGTCTGCTCGTCTCTTCCTGGCCTTCGTTCCCAGGGGTCAGCCCCTCATGGATCTATCAGGACTGGAGACCTGTTTACCATATACCTGCATGTTGTCATCAATCCTAACAGTCATGGAAATCACAGCATCCTACTCACTGGAGTTGAATGCTACCGTGCAGTGACTTCTCTTCATAGTGAAAATACAACTTACAGCTCTATCTCTGTACAATGGTGCTCAGCTATCTCCACATGTTCCTGTAAATCTCCTGGGAGACTTTCACCTTGACGAGCTGGATTACTGACTGTGTTCCTCAACAATACAGTGTCAGCTACTGTGTTAAGTAGAGAGCCACTGACAAGGCTGATCAGCATCAGGATAGCATGATTAGTCAGGAGGGGTGGCCAACTCCAAGGCGGGAAACTCTTCAGGCCTGGTGTTGCACCAAAACACAAACACCACCATATGCACACAAACATGCACAGACCAGGGCCCTGTGCTTCGTACGTCGCTTACTACATCCAAGATCAAATGACACATCCAAGACCAAACCATCGCGCTAACCGTGAGCTCGCTAATCCGGTTCCCCGAACACACCTGCTGTTGACGATTAGTACAGCTGGACGCAGTAATGTGACATCACTGGGTGTCGTAAAAGGGGCTACGCATCGATAGTGGAAACATTGATCGGCAACCCTCTGATTGGTCGGCGAAAATGT